GTCAACCAGATAGTAGCCCATGTTATACTCATGTCCATTGGCAGTATAGTGGCAAGGAGGAGTTTTTTCTTCAGCTAGCCTCGCAAACAAAGGTGACCGCTGCAATACATTGATGGCATTGTGACACACGGGCATGCCAAAGCCAAATCCAAAGATTGTGTGATGCAACTGCTTAAAGAATGATGGTGGGCTTCTTAATATGACCCTGATATTGCCCTTGTAAAACCTTCAGGCAGTTTCTTCCATTTCCAACGCATCCAGTCAAAAGATCCAAGCAAACCTAGCCACTCTCTTGCTTCTGATATTGCCAAGAGCCTCTCGGTGTCTGCCACAGTTGGTTCTCTCGGGTATTAAGGTCCGAACACTCTGACTAAAGCAATTGCAAACCTGACCATGGCATCTCCGCATGTGCTCTTAGACATCCGTAGGTACTCGTCCCACGAATCATCGGTCGTGCCATATGCAAGCATCTGTAGTGCGGCCGTGCACTTCTGGTAACTAGAGAAGCCAATCATTCCCACGGTGTCCTTTTTCAAGACGAAGTAGTCATCATAAGACTGAACGCCATGGTACAAACGATCGAAGACAGTCTTGCGCGTCCGAAAGCGCCGACGAGAATGGTCAGCGAAGAGTGCATCTGGGGCGAAGTTGTCGGCCATCAATGTCAAATGGCCGCATGCCCTGTTGCGATTGAGCACTCTATGAGCCTTGATCGGGCCCTTAAAATTGAGAACATGCTCATCTGCACGCTCCGCGTCTTCAAGGACCGCCTACATCATCGCCGTCTCTACCGAGTACTCCTCCTCATCGGACGAGCCATTGGACAACTCAACATAGTGCTTGTATATGTACTCCAAATCGGAATCCATTGTTAGAAAAAAAGGAAAAAAAATTGTTTTTAGCTCCGGCAATTCATCGAACAGTTGCCGGGCATGGTGAGTATACCAGTAGCGGATGGTACCTGGTGGGGCGGTCGAAGGATAGGGGTTGAACGACGACGGAGGAGAAGCGAGGTGGAGCTCGGCTGGAACGCTGGAGGTGACAGAGACGTAGAGTTCCGGCAGGGGTGTGGCGTGGCGGCCGGGATGATGGGGCGGCGGCGAAGATAAGAAAGAAAGAATGACGGAGAGAAAAAGGGGAGGATGAAGGTGCGGGGTCCGGGAAGGGTTTTGGGTGTGCCGGGGGATGTCGGAGTTCTACGTGTGTGGTGTTCGGGCTCCCTCAAAGCTCTCCCACGTTTGTCTCCGCTTAGCGGGAGAAAGTACGCCTGGACCACGCCACGGACCGATACAGGTCCGTGTTAGATGGCTTCCGCGGTCCAGACGGATGTGAGTGGTTTGCGGGTCCGCCTTGGAGATGGCCTTAGCACGTCTGCCTCCCGACTGTCTACTATAACAAGTTTTTCCCTGCTTCAGAGAGGGAAGGGCGATGAAGGCGGGCCCCTTTAGCTCGCTTCAGTGCTTGCAGTCGGCGCTAGGTGGTTTATGGATCTGGATGTGATTTTTTTTATATCCGGTGTTTGTTATACTGTCATGATTGAGAATGAATTGATTGGAAGTTTTCTGAACTTCATCTCAAGAACAGACAAGAGCTGCTGCCTGACGAAGTGAAAGCTAGTCCGAAAGAGAGTATGCATGGGAGTCCCGCCTACATCAGGTACAACTGTGTGCTTGTTCTCGGCATATAAACCTCTCTCCTGACGGGCACATGGGTATAGCCACCATGCTCTATCGTCATCTGCGCGGTCTCCAAGAACCGCCAACCACCTGAACATAATCTATCTGCAACGCCAGATAAATAATGCTCGACATCCAAATATGAGTGCATCCGGAGTACTGGTATCCAGATAAATAATTCTTGATATATCCAAATATGAGTGTACCCGGAGTCAGTACTGGTATCCAGATAAAAAATGCTCGATATCCAGGCTTTGAATCAGTACTGGCATCCCTTCATTTCTTCTGCAATCAAGCCTTTTCCTCTCCTGAAATGAGTGCACAGATTTCGTAGCACAAAAGTCACGAACAGCGCCGTCATATGCTCGGGTAATCAGCGCACTAGCTTACACTTGCAAGAGCCAAATCCGGCAGGGTGAGTTGACCACACTGCAACTGACGCTGCTGAATCTTTTTAAATTCAGTCTCGGTCGTTCTGAATTTTATACTACGGTTGCTTCATTCTCCGTGAAAGAAATTATCACCATGTAGGAGTAGGACGACGAACGCGCAATCTCCTGGTTCTCGAATCATGCGTAGTACGTGCGTGCGGTTAATCTGCATCCGGCCCCGCGCTCGAGGTCGAGGCAGCAGAAGTGGATAGTTCACGCCAGAATTCCCGACGGTCGCGCCCGGCTGACAGGGCCCCGGTAGCTCGCGCTAGAGGCAGCACGTCAGGTTAAAACTAAAGTCTAGCAGCCGCAGATTATTTTTCTTTTCTACTACTCCATTGAAACATCTATCGTAGTCAATGTATCTACTACTGTACTACAACTACAGCTTGCGAAGTTAACAAATTTGCTGGTTCTAGAACGGGTGCACGCATGTGGCTTGAGCAGCCGATCATAACGGCAAGCAGTTACTACTTTCGATCAACATTGCCAGCAGTGGGAAACAAGCTGATCAAGTTCAGAGGAGGCAAGTGCGCTGCATGTGTCCACTGCTGGAACTCCAGGCCGTGACTGGCTAAGCTATCCAGTCCCAGTTCCAGTATGAGCACTCATCCCGAAGGCCAATCTTCCTTGGCCCGATCTGTCACTTGATTCTTCCGTTCCACGCATGATGCAGGAAGAAAGTGCAAAAATAGACGGCCCTTTTCTAGGATGCCGTGCTGGGCGGCGTCTCGTCGTCGAGGAAAGGAAACGATACACATCCGGTTAAACCGTTGCACCCGCCTGCCTCGTTGTTGATCGCGTCCGCCATGTGATGGGATTGTTTAGTATTGGTTCCAGGTGCGGCGCCCGGAAGCACGCAGGCTTGCTTCCCGGCGCAGCCTTAAAACTGTCTCCCTCCTTTGGAGTTGGATCAACCTGCAGTCACACACGGCAAGAGTCAGAGGTTGGACAGTGGACGGAGCTGGCCTTTGTGTCGGGTCGTGTCGTGTGTCGAACTGTCACTGCATGCACACGTAGGAGTAGGTGCAAGTGGCACGACTCGAACCAAGGGCACGCCGTCACGCCCCCCTAATCTGTGCTTGGAGCGCTGCCGCCGTTTTCGGGTTCTCACGTCGGAGCCGACCTAACCTTGACCCTATATTTGACTGACCGGGGTTCGAGCCCTGTGCCCATGATCACGCACGCGGACACGGCAGTGCCGGATTCCCAGTCAACAGCCCGATTCACGTGTACTCTAGCGCATGTACGTATGTACGCTGAGTGAGCGGTCTCGTGGACGTACATAAACAGCGGAATTGCTGTGCGTACGATGAATAGTGCATACGATTTTCGTACGACGTGATCCCACTCGTCTGTGCGACTCATCGAGCGGCTGCTGTGGCTGTCGTACGTAAATCGTACAAAGATTCGTCGTATGTGTAGAGAGGGCTCTGCTCTGCTGAATAGCATTGTCGTCCTCGTGGCTTGGCTCGTGGACACGGAGCGTCCCGCGGTTCATCGCCCTACCGAGCAGGCTAAATGGCGATGTTGGTGTAGGGCCTAGACTTCTGTTGGCTGTTTTTTTCTTTCCATTCGGTAGGTGTTTCGGGACCGTAGTCGTGCCTGGTTCCTGCACTGAAAACTGCTCGTCTACTTCCTCTATTCCTTTTTTTAAAAATATAAATATAATACTTCCTCTATTCCTTTTGTAATGTTGATGAGAAGCGGTTCTCAGTTGGAAGAAATGAACAAAGAGACACTCATAGATCACGTTCGTAGAGACACGCCGTGGCCATGTCACGTCAATGCTGACCGGGAATAAGCATGTGCAGCCGAGATCTGGCAGGTCGACGTGGCATTCTCTACGGACACCGAGCATGGCAGGACGAGTTCTGTGACAATGGGGACGGTCATGTTTTCAGTTGACTGTTGACTTGTCCTCGGACCAAAGCGCCCCCCGGGAACTTGGGAGTAAAGAGGGGGCCATGACGTGCCATGGCGTGCACGATTTTCTTCATCCCGAGCTCTTCTGACAGGCCATCCAAGGAGACAGGGTAGCTACGCAAGGCACGCACTGAATCACCTGGTCAGAAGAGTGAAGAGATGATGAACCTAATCCCCAGTTTCACGACGCCGTGTCTGTCCATGACCCGCGACCTCTCTGAACTCAACGCTCTGAGTTCCCCGGCTATGCAGTTCATCATGTCTTTCCGGTTCTCCGGTCAAGAAAATCCCAGAGTACAGCGCCTGGAATGGATGCATGCTTCCATCGGGAAAATAAGAAGGGAAAAAACTGGGCATTCCAACTGGGAAAAAACTCACTTCGTGCGTGGCCTGAGAAAAGCCTCCTGTGAACTCTTTAATTTGATGCATGCTCGAACATATGGTACGCTATCGGCGCACTCTCACAGAAAAAAATAAATAGAAACAGGCCCGTAGAGGAGACCTTGAATTGGCTGCACAAACAACCTGGGAGACACGAAATGGTGCAATACCAGATGAACTGTCCACTCGTTCAGCAATTACAAAGGGTTGTTTTGTTCCTGAGGTTCAGCACAATTTTTTTTCTAAACTTTTCCAGACTTGTAGACAGCAACTTTATCCGGTGAAGGCTGATTATTCCAAAGGACTAGCATTGACCACTACAAAATTCTTTAGTGACGCGCAATTACCGCATCTCTGGGCGAATACCCACAGTCTGATATTACCGCGGTATGCGCGGCTCCAAGATTACACTACATGAGATAGGCACTCTGGCCAGGTCTAAATCTCAACGGGACTATTTTGAGTCTGTTCTCTATGGCTTCTCTTCGTCCGATTGGGACCCGTTGATGGCGTCGGCGAAGTACTCAACTGGAGATAATACGACATACCACAAATGAGTAAGCGGGTCTCAAAATAAATCATCAAGTCAGGTATGTATATGATGATTAACCGGCAATTCATGGCCGAGATAAATCACAGCACAAGCAAAATTACCTATGTCATCATGGTCTGGGGAATCAAGTAAGAGATCCGAGTCCGAGGGCAGGAAAGGGGTACCCGCGTAATTCTCAAGAGCCTCCAAGTCTGAACATCAACATGGAACACCAACAGTGTGATTACTGTTTCCAAAGAGCTGGTTATCAAAAGAAATACTATCAATTAAAGTCATGCTACCAAAGCCAGAAGATTACCTCCTAAACTTGTCAAATCTGCTGTAAGATCAGAGAGGCTGAAATTCCAGAGCTGCCCCAAGGATCGGATGGAATCCCTTGACGACCCATCTGCCCCTAATTGCAGAGGTCCTGTGTTCCCTATCTCAGATCCAAATGCTGAATCCAGGACTGATGTATCCATGGCCATCCCTGGTATCTCAGATGGAGTGAAAGGAGCATGGCTTGATGCTGCTGATGAGGGACTCACAGCCATATCAGATGACATAGCACCAGCATGTGCAGCTTCCGGTGCACCATTGTCCACAACCATGCTTCAGGCAACATCAGAAAAATGTAAGGTTAGCCATGAATATGAATAGCAAGAGCAAAAGACTTTCTGCAAGACAATAAGTCAGAAGGCTGCAACCTGCAATACTAATTCCTATATTTGTATTTTGTAGAAATAACAGCTTTCAGACATTGGTTAAAAAATGAACAACGTTGAAGAAACATCAGATGACATCAGGTGAAACAGAAATATGGATAACAACAGAATGAACAGGAGATTTTTTCTGGTGCAAGTACCTTTCATGAAACTTTTTAGCGGAAAGATGATAAAAAAAATCAATAAATAAGCATCATAATTAAAGTAGATAAATTAGTGAATAGCATGCTGTGACATTACTTAAGAATCGACCACTTGAGTAAGCATTTATTGATTTATTACCTAGCAGTTTGACTAGTGCGGCACAAAGAACTGTAGATGCCTTACCCCAGTATGTGTATATGCAGGATATGCTCCAACTATATTGACAGAAGCAACACCCAAGATAAAATGTTCCAATCTTTTGATATGCATACATAGATAGAATATGATTTGCCAGACGAAATATTCTCAAGAACATGATTAAACCAATAAATCCTACAATGCAAATATCAAGCATAAAGGGAGAAAAGAACATGGTTAAGCCGATAAAGGTAATGCTTACTCATTTCCAGAGTTCATGCGCATTGGATGATAACCACCTGGTGCAGGGATCCCATTCACTACATGGCCGCTGGATAGACCACAAACCATCGGATCAATGTGAGGCTGGCCAGGAGCAGGCATCAGAGGTTGCTGAAGTACTGGATACCCCATCGGTAGATTGTTAACTGCACCAGATCTGGGCTTGAGTTCAATAGCAATGGCAATTGTATTATACATTTTAAATGTCTAAACCAGTCAATGATTACAGCTAAACCTGAAACTTAGCCAGATCATGCTAAAGCTGCACCATGAAACTCGGTACTAGTGCAGGAAAAAAAAACATCACTGTAAGATCTTTAATCCTATAATTATATCATTTAGAGTCTTCCCACACCAAGCCAACACTGATGCAGTAAATGAGGATAATATGGACCCAAGAGAGCAGAGAAAAAGTGTGGTTACTTATGATGATAAGATATTTTGATATAAGGTGTGGACTTGTAAAAAAAAATTCTCAGTAAAATTACATGAAAGGGAAGGAAATTTCCTGATAGAAAATGTGCACATTTCCTTCTGAAGGCAAACTGTAGCAAACACAATAGCTATGTAGAAAAGATAGCATACTGGAAATCCCAAACTGCAATGCACTTGTTTAGCCTCTTTTGAAGCTAGATGTGTAAAACAGGGCATTACCTGGCATAGGATGCATTCCATTTTGCATGGGAGCCAGCGGAACATTCGGAGGTGCTGGATATTTCATCAAATTATACTGGTGCTGCAATAAATGGTTGAACAAGACAATCTGTCTTTTCAATTTCAATCTTATATAGTAAGCCCGAAAGAATTCAGAGTTCTCTTCTTCAAGTTTCTGCCATACTGAAAATACAAAAGTATAAACGAAAATGAGCAGAAAGACTTTAGAACTCCAATGGATGTATGTCTAGATGCTTAAAGTTCACATTTTGTGTTTGTCCTGAGCAATTACCATCCATGTAAGTATCGATGAATAGGTCAAACAGGTAAGTACAAGGCTACAACTTCATTTTATTGAGCAAATTTGTTCATCAATATGATGGGCAGGGTTTGTGCATGCCTCTTGAGCAAGATGTAACTTTCATGCTGTAAGAAATAGTACCGTATATTACTGATTGTAGCCCAAATTACAAGAAAGAAGCTAACACACAAATAAACTAGTATGTAGAAAAAAGCACTCGAAACAAGAATATCATCAGCAACTGAATTTGCAACATCACCTAAAGTAGTGAAGCCAGGTTCTATTCTAGCACGAGTAGAAAGTGTCCTAACAACCTCTCCTTTGGTCATGTACAGCTGCAGACAGCGCTCTATCAAATTTTGGACCTGCAACAGGATGTCAAGTCTCATTAATTACAAGAGTGTGGAACCCCCACTGCAGAGGGATGTAATCTGGTAATAAATTAGCATCCAAGAAGCTAAAGAATACAGAACAGCTAAGCGTCTTACAAGTTCAATGTCTTCACGGGAGACTTTTCTATTATCATTGTTAGCGACTGCCACAGAACCGGGATCTCCTGCAGGTGCATCAGTGGCCATTGTGTTTAGTTGGTTACTTTGCACTTCATTAGTACCCTGGGGGGACATCTGCAACTCTGTGGTGCTCTGAATATCCTGTAGGAAATGTCCATAAGTAACATAAATCAATCACCTGCTAAAAGAAAAAGAAAAACACTGAAAACAGTAACAGTCAATTATGAGTGGTAATAAGAAGAAGAAGAAGAAAAAGTTGTCTTGGCATTGAGGAACAATTCTCTCACAAATATTATGTGTTAATGTTTGATCCTATATTCACCACATTACTATAGAAGGGACGTCCCTATAGAAGTACTTTGTTAGCAGTTACCAAGAAAGCTGTAGCAAAACTCTGGTTCATGTGCAATTCATAATGTATAGTCATCTCACTCTCTAGTGTGGTGAACAAAAATTCTATGCACTTTCACCATCTGGTTAGACCAACCAGAAGTAATTTTACGCTGAGAGGTAAAGATAATTATGAATGGGATTTTCAGTGAAAACTGATAATAGCAAGCAAATTCACCTGAGAATCCTTCATTGCAGCTTATCTGCTTATCACATAAGAAATAGCTAAATCCAGGATCAATGCTTATCCTGATAGGAAAATTATACCAAGGGTTATGCTAGAATGCATTACGAAACGTTGTCACGTTTAACAATAGAAACTCGAAAATAAACATCAAACCATTGCAGTGCACCTTAAAATAGCCTTGCTGGAAACTGCCATATCAGCTTTCCAATTTATTTCATTCTAGACTAGGAAGCTAATGAGCTTCAAACTTTTGGTCAAATGATGCAAAAAAGGAAGAAAAAAAGTGCAGTGACATGATAGAGAGAACGAAGTATGAGGGTCCTTTTATGGTATAAGGAAACGAGTAGTGCTGCTATTCTACTGCAAGTATGGCATTGTGGCATTCATAAGATGAAACGATACTGGCACTTCAATCAAATTGATGATAACATCAATCGGGGCAAGGTGGAAACTAGATGGTGCTTAAATAAGAACTTGTTGCAGGTTTCATAAAAAATGAATTTGCATAAGCATCTACCAAAATATTGTGTGCTTTCTTTTGAAAGAATAAGGAAATGTGTAATGTGGGTTTTAAACTACTAAAAGGGCAGCCCGGTGTACGTAGCTCCCGCTTGACCCCGTGACTTGAACCCGTGACCTCATGGTCACAAGGCAACAGCTTTACCGCTGCGCCGAGGCTCCCCTTCGTAGGTTTTAAATTACTGATAATATCAATTGTCGTTAAAAAAGAGGTTTGATATTACTTAATGGCATGGAACAGGAAGCAGTAGCATCCCCAAGAAGTGTCATTTCATACGCTGAAAG